GTCGGGTTTGGACCAACGTTTAAAAGATCGACCGATTTATAAAAAATCGGCTGACTAACTCGGGATCGATCACTGGCCGATCCCGATCTGGCCCGATTCCAACGGGAAATCGTGTTTTGTTTTAAACAATCTTATATACTTATGGAGAGACACATATACCTACATATCTCTATGATACATATACCTACCGGATATGTATCTCTATAATATGTATCCATAGAGATACATATCCATACGCGATACGTAGCCATATCTATCCATACGATAACAATCAAATCCAGTTTTTGAGCATATAATATATATGTTATTTTTATCTTCTTCTTTTTTATAATTTGGATAAAGCTAAAATCTTGTATGTTCATAACTTTAACCATCATACATGTATAAAATATTTAAAAATCATCATCATCATTATTTTAGCCTTTTCTCAATTAATTGGGGTCGGCTACATTAATCCTGGTTCTCGATTCGGCTATATTAAAGGCCACCATAAGTCTTTATATCTTTTCGGACTACTTCCAACTACGTCTTTTTGGGCCTACCTCTGGCCCTTTCCAGTTCTTCTACTTTTTTTGTTTTACCCTTTACCCTTTTCAGTCCTTCCACTTGAACTAATTCGCACCTCCTAACATGTTCTATACTTGGTTGGCACCACATATGGCCAGCCCACCTACGTCTACTCTCTCTCATCCATCTCAACATCCTCATCTCCGCTATACTCATTATATAGGTATAAAATATTTAAAAATAATTTAAAAATAGAAATTACCACTAAACACTAAAACTTCAATTATAAATACTCCCCTTGGTTTAAAATTTAAATTAAAGCACCTGAAAATGAAATTTCCTTTCCTTGAGTAAACAAACAGGGTCAAACGCTGAGGGATTAAGAGAGTTTACAGCTATTTATCCCATATAATGCAGGATGAGATATCCTTTAACCCCCATATCCTTGAACATCAACCACAATTCCGAGTCTCACGTGGCCTTCTAGCCTTAATCCGTCCCTTCAAATCCTAAACTCTGTCATTCAAAACATGGATCTACCATACCATATATTAGATCTAGCCTCCAATAGCTTAGACCTAGTCCAAATCAAACCATCAAACTTTTGATCCATTTTCAACCAATTCCATATCCCTTGAACTTCGGATTTGCCCCGCAATATCCATTTTCAACCAATCACTCTAGTGATTTTCCTGTTTTTTGTTTATTTATTTATTTATTTTTATTTAGATTTGATGTCTTTAGAAAAAATTGTGCTCTTGTCCCTTAAAAGTAACATTATTGTAAAATCCAAAGTAACTTTGGATCTTCATGTTTCGACGCCAACCCTTTCTCAAATTTTTTTAGCCTAATCACTTCAAATCTTGAAAATCCAAAGTGGACACAAGCCTCCACTTCAAACTTTCAAATATGAAAATTCTTGACTTTGAATCTTCGAAATCGGAAGTCAATCTAGACTTCAGCCCTCAAACGTTTGAAGTTGGGCCATTTTTGGGGGAAAAAATAAAAAAAAAATGGCTATAGAAATACAAAAATTCGGGGGGATTTCCAGAATACCATTCTTTTAGAGGGACATGGCCATAACTTTCTCTATTCTTTAAAATCACCATTTTTACGTGTGTGAGGTAGAAATACCTAAACATATTTTTTATGAAGCCCCTTCTTCGAGTCCAAATTTTAGAAGTTTTATTGTAATTTCTTTAGGAAATATTACTAAAGGAGTTTAAACCCCTTCTAAAATCATTAAGGGGATCAAAATATTACAATTAGCACTAGAAGATGTACTTCAAGTCCAAATTTTAGAAGTTTTATTATAATTTTTTGGGGAAATATCATTAAAGGAGTTAAATCCCTTCTAAAATCATCAAGGGGGATCAAAATATTACAATTAGAAAAGACCACACGAGGCCAGAGATTGACAACGGTGAGAGATTGGTAGTGGTGTTGGTTTATGGAATAGAGAGTCGCTATATATATAGAATAGATATGAGAGATTGACAGTGGTGCCTATAGAATAATGGCTTATTTATGGAATAGAGATGAGAAATTTATAGTGGTGTGGGTTTATGGAGTAGAGATGAGAGATTGGCATACAGAGTGGTCTATAGATAGAGATGAGAGATTGACAATGGTGCCTATAGAATAGTGGTTTATATGAAATAAAGATGAGAAATTGACAATTGTTCTACAATTCTTGTTACACCTCTCTCTTTGGCTGACGTGAAACTCGAGATGGGGAGGAAATATTTTGATGGAATCCGTATCCATTTGGGTTTTCACCTGATTTTTTCAATTTTGATCGTTTCTAATTTTGAGTGATTCCTAGGGATTTTGGGTTTTGTTTTTTTGGTCTGGAATCTTTGGATTGAATTATGGGAATGTATGCCATGAGACCATTTACCTTTCAAATATGTCTTCACCGTGTCGGTTACTTCTTTTTCACTGGCACCCTTTTCAAAACTCAGTCTCTCTTCAAACCTAAAACCTCATTTCTCAATCTCCAAACAAGTGTTCAAAACAACTCTGATTAATCTGACCGATTCCGATTAGATCGGGCGATTAGTGCCCCGATTTTTTCTGAAAAGTGCAATTTTGGTAAAAAAAAAACCCAAAAAACTCAAAAAATCCTAAAAAAATTGTAAAAAATGTTTAAAATTTATATGTATTGTTTTTTTTTATTCTGTCACATAAAAAAAGTAAAAAATAAATATTATAAACATAATCGATTTTCAGAAAAAATGATTAGAATACTTTTTTCAGTGATCAATATATAACAAATATATAATAAATATATATTAATACTATATATTATATATAATATGTAATCAATATATACTATTAATATAAATTACTTTAATAAAATAAATATAAATATATAATATATAATATACAATATACAATATAAATATATAATATATAATATATAATATATAATATATAATATATAATATATAATATATAATATAATACAATATAATATTATAAAATATTATAATATTTCAACTCAAACCATGCTTGTTTTTTGGGTCTTTTGGAATTCAATTAAAATTGTAGCTAAAATATAAAATTGTTTGTCTCTTTGCGATAATTTTGATAAATTTCTATCTCTCTCATATAAGTGTCTATGTGCCCCTCGGGGCTTGGTGGTGTAGTATTAGATTGAAGATCACATCAGATCAACAACAAAAAATTTTGATATCCCCAGAGCTGAGGGACCTACGCACTTGGCACCCTGTCGGGCCTAACCAACTCCGGTGCGCCTGAGTCTACTCACCCAAAGCGGCAAACCCTACAGTTAGTAAATAAAAAATTTGTAATAATATATAAAGTTTTAAGTAGAGAAATAGAAGAAGGATAATTGTTTCATGCGACCTGGACCGCATTTCTACAATATGCAGTCCAGAGATATAAAGCATCCATCTTAAAGATGGATGCAAATAGGTAGTCCATCTAAAAACAAGTGTAACTAACGGTCCAAATGTTTTCTTAATATAATTATTATTTCTAGTTTTCAAATTATTATTATTTTTTTATATTCATGATCTCCATGTTAAAGATTATATATTCTCTAAAAATTAGGATCAAATTATATTTAAAAAATATATTTATTGTCAAGCCCTCATTTCTATAATATACGGGCTAAACCGCATAGAAACCATAGGCTGGCTGCAAAGAAACCGTGTGTCCATATAAGAATAGGGAAAAGAAAAAAAAAATATAAAACATGTTACAAGGATAACTATGCAAATTCTGCTATGTAACAGTGCACTTATTGGCCCATTTTTAGAACAAATCGCCAATTTAGTACACTAATCAGCCGATTAGTGCCGATAGTCGGCATACATGACCGTTGGAATCAGGCTAGGGAAGACCACTTTGGTTACGAGGGTCTTGAATCGCCCAGAGCCTCCAAACCCAATTTGAAAGTTTAGGGCTTCTATACTCGTGAGCACTTCTTTTTCCCTGCTCATTTTACGTCTTTTCCAACCCTCTCTCTCTAAAGTTACAGTCAATTTTTCTTTCGAGTTATTAATTAGTTTTAATCAATGGATGTTGGATTTCAAGTAGTGTAATTACAGTCATTCCATCGGATTACAATCTTTGAGGTTTTTATTGTGTTGAGGTTTGAAGAAGTTATATTTACTGTTGATTTGGAAAATATAGCAATTCATGGAATTCTTGTTTCGTTTATTAGTTTATAGGGGTTTCATATTTTTATTCATTGGTTTGATTTTTTTTAACGTTATTGACGTTTTTCATTTATTTTGTGTAAAAAGGTTTTTTATGGTTTAAAAAGGGCATATATAAATATCTTGGTTTATGTGACTGAAAAATTATCATTAGCCAAGAAAACAGGGTTTTTTTTTTTTATCTCATTATTTTATAAAATTGAATAATTTTTATTTGTGTATGACAGAATGGTGGAGTAGATATGAGAATTTAATATTGGCTTCAAGCTTCAAAGACAACATCAAAATAACCATTTCAGAGGAGCTCTATGGATAAGATAAAAGAGATGGAATCAATTGGAAAATGGACTGTACAAACTCATTCAATAGCATAGACTAAGGACATTAACTTTGCTAAGAATATCAAAAGCACATTTAACAATGGCTTCCAGTATTGCAAGAAAGTAACTAACTCATGAAAGTAAGCCCAAAATTTTGATAAAGCATCCTCTACATATGATTGAGGGAAATGAATACGAATGGAGAACGCAGCTAGCTAAACTTTAATCACTTAGACCCAGCAGTTAGAATAGGCAGTTTGATTTCTGATGGAAATGCTTAGTATGGGATCTATAATACCTTTAATTCAGGCAATGCTAAAGGAATTAGCAGTTAGAAGAAATTCTTTTTACAGTCGGATTTAGTCCCCTGATACAAAGGAATCAACTCTAGGAAAATAAGAAGCCAAAAATAGAACACTCATGACACGGGGCCATCTTGAAAACCCAAAATGACTGAAGAAAATGGATCGAAAGCAAAAACTACCTTACAGAAGTAGATGCAAGACTTCCACTCCTGCCATCTAATGTCACCACTTCAAAGCCCACGCTTTCAGTTCCTTGTCTGATCTCACCTATATGATTGCCATCTGTTAGTAATTGCCATCTAGCAACAACATAATTCTTAAAAACACCAAACTTATTTTCAACAGACAAGAAAGTCCACAAGGATGCCTCAGACAACTGCTGATCTTATTGTTGGCACCAATTATACAAGAACTCCTCATTTGGATTGACGTGGTTGACCATGTCTGTGAGATGTTCAGTAAGAGCCCTTATCGATATAGCTCTTGTGCTTTTCGCTAGAATACGAGGTGCTAATGACAGATTGCACACAGTAAGTTTCCATTCTTTTAGAGAATGTAATGGGAACTTTAACTGAGGTCATCCTCCACTTCCTATTTGTTTAAGGGCATGGGAAGCCCTTTAGGAATGCTTCTGTGCTCATAATAGAAAGGAGTTTTCACTTGTCAACAGACCAGAGGTAGAGAATGGGCTGGGGCCTTGGTGGCAGTACCAACGAGCCCCATGAATTAAGTCCCGGACTACATTCTCACCAAAGGAAAAGGGTGGGCGTCTAAATCCCCACTGATGCACCCAAAAAAGAAAGAGAAAAATATACAAATAGCAAGGTTGAAAGTTGAAACCATACATGGGTCACATGTCTTCCATTTTTGTTTTATGAGATACCTTTGTAGAACAATTTAGAAAAAATAAAAGCAATCACCAATTAGAACATATCCGTAAGCCAACATCGTGATGAGCAAGAAAATATACACGAAAAGACAATAAAGACATAGCTTAAACGCAGGGCATGGTCTAAACATTATCAATGTCAAATATTTCAATGACATAATTGTATATTAGATGATCACAAAGGCAATTAAGAAAAAAGTACTTGTAAGATAAGCCAATATTAAATTCTCATATTTACACCACCATTCTGCAATACATAAATAAAAATTATTCGATTTTATAAAATAATGAAATGAAAAAAGAAAACCCTGTTTCGTGGGCTAATGATAATTTTTCAGTCAGATAAACCTAGAGATTTACATATACCATTTTTAAACCTTAATAAATTCTATGAATTGCCATACTTTCCAAATCAACAGTAAATATAACTTCTTCAAACGTCAATACAATAAAAAGCTCAAAGGTTGTAACCGGATGGAATGACAGTAGTTACACTACTTGAAATCCAACATTCATTGATTAAAAACTAATTAATAACTCGAAAGAAAAATTGACACTAACCTTAGAGAGAGAGTAGCAAAAAACACATAAAATGAGCAGGGAAGAGGAAGTGCTTACGAGTATAGAAGCCCTAAACTTTCAAATTGGGTTTGGACGCTCCGGGCGATTCAAGACCCTCATAACCAAGGTGGTCTTCCCAATCCTCTGAAGTTAGAGAAAACGGCATGACATAAATAAATAAACTCAAATAAATAAAAAGACATATAACTATGGGGGGTTCCATTTTAAAGAGAGGAAAAACTCAAATAAATAGAAAGACATATAATTATTAGGGGATCCATTTTAAAGAGAGGAAAAGGGATTCAGGGTTGTGAACTCACACTAGCAAGCATTTGCCAGGAGTTCCCATCCAATCCTATTACGCTTTGTTTACAGGTAGTGAGAGACTGTTACAGTTACGCCATGAGAGGGAAAGGTTTTGGAGTCGATAAGAGAGAGGGAGAGAGAGACCTACGGCTCCTAATTTTGTGACCACTTTATTTGAAAGATAAATGGTCTCGTGGCATGCATTCCCTTGAATTATTGGGTTTCTCGATTTAGGTTTTGTATGGGTTCTGTTTTGAATGGTTTTTTTCTTGAAGGAAAAAGTTTAGAGCCAGGCTCTAAACAATTAAATTAGAGCTGACCTCAAAAATTTCATTAGAAGTTGTTTTGATGTTAAAATATCTTCAAATTGAAATAGATTTCAAGTTTTGAAAATAGTGCATTTCATAACGTATTTTGGATCATCAATTTTTAAGATTTTCAAATTTTTATAGATATGCTCGATCTATATTATTTTTTAATTTTAAATTGTAAAATTAAAGATGAAAATATATTTTAACGCTATCACAAAGATTTCTAATATAAAAACCACAAAACCACATTTTTCGACACAATTTGAAGGTAGGCTTTAATTTGATTATTTAGAACCTCGGCTCTATACAAACCACTTGATTTTATTAAATTGTTGGGATTCAATGATGATGGACACTTCGATTTTGAACAGTGTTGTGAGACTCTCGCCGGTCCATTCGCAAGCTCTCTTGCCCGGAGTTACTCATTACAGCTCCCGGCATATTAAAAAATAAAAAAAATTCAAACAGCTCCAGGTATATTAAGAAATAAAAAAAATGTCAAAAATATAATGTATAAAAACTTTGAGCAGTTTATAGGTAAATCATGTTTCGTTTTTTATATTTAAAAACAGTCTTATATACTTATTGAGAGATACATATACCTACGGGATATGTATCCATAAGAAATACATATCTATACACGTTTATATCAATCTATCTGATAACAATCAAAACCATTTTTTGAGCATATAGTATATATTTTATTTTTATCTTCTTTTTTTTTTATAATTTGGATTAAGTTGAAATTTTGTATGTTCATAACTTTAACCATCATAGATGTATAAAATATTTTAAAATCATCATCATCATTATTTTAGCTTTTTTTCAATTAATTAAAGGTTGGCTACATGAATCATGATTCTCCATTTTGCTCTATTAAAGGCCTCGTTAGTGAGGCCATAAGTCTCAATATCTTTTTGTACTACTTCCGACCAAGTGTTTTTAGATCTACCTCTAGCCCTTTTCAGTCCTCCATTTTTTTTGGTTTTATCTCTTGCCTTTTTCAGTCCTTCCACTTGAACTAATTCATACCTCCTAACCAGTTCTGTAATTGGTCGGCGCCATGTATGGCCAGCACACGTAAGTCTGCTCTTTCTCATTTTATCGTCTATTGGTGCCACACCTAAATTCTCTCAAATGGATTCATTGCGAATTATGTCCCTTCTTGTCTTGCCACTTATTCATCTCAATATCCTCATCTCCGCGATACTCATTCTATAGGTATAAAATATTTAAAAATAATTTTAAAATAAAAATTACCACTAAACACTAAAACTTCAATTATAAATACTTCCCTTAGTTTAAATTTTAAATTAAAGCACCAGAAAATAAATTTCTTTTCCTTGAGTGTACAAAGAGGGTCAAACGCTGAGGGATTAAGAGAGTTTACAGCCATTTATCCCATATAATGTAGGTTGAGATAACCTTTGACCCCCATATCATTCAACATCAACCATAATTCCTAGTCTCACATGGGCCTTCTAGCCTTAATCCGTCCCTTCAAATCCTAAACTCTGTCATTCAAAACATAGATCTATCGTACCATAGATTAGATCTAGCCTCCAATTGCTTAGATCTAGTCCAAATCAAACCATCAACTTTTAATCCACTTTCAACCAATTCCATATCCCTTGAACTTCAGATTTGCCCCACAATATCCATTATCAACCAATCACTCCAGGCATTTTCTTTTTCTTTTGTTTATTTATTTTTATTTATAATTGATTTCTTTGCAGAAAATTGTGCTCCCGTCCCTCAAAAGTAACATTATTGTGAAATCCAAACTTTGGATCTTTATGGTTCGAAGCTAATCCTTTCACATATTTTTTAGCCTAATCACTTCAAATCTTGAATATCCAAAGTGGACACGAGCCTCCACTTCAGACCTTCAAATATGAAAATTCTTAACTTTGAATCTTCGAAATCGGAAGTCAATCTAGACTTCGGCCCTCAAAGGTCTGAAGTTGGGCCATTTTTGGGAGGGGGGGAATGACTATAAAAGTACAAATATTTGGGAGGATTTCCATAATACCATTCTTTTAGAGGGACATAGGCATAACTTTCTCTATTCTTTAAAATCATCATTTTTAGGTGTGCGAGGTAGAAATACCTCAACATATTTTTTTGTAAAGCCCCATCTTCGAGTCCACATTTTAGAATCTTTATTGTAATTTCTTTGGGAAATATCATTAAAGGAGGTAAAACCCCTTCTAAAATCTTTAAGGGGGATCAAATATTACAATTAGCACTAGAAGATGTACTTCGAGTCCAAATTTTTGAAGTTTTATTGTAATTTCTTGGGGAAATATCATTAAAGGGGTTAAAACCCCTTCTAAAATCATTAAGGGGGATCAAAATAATACAATTAGCATCAGAAGATGTACTTCTTATTTTTCTTTACCTAAAAAATTATCTTTAAGTATACCTTAATTGTTTTCGTTCAAAATTAGTGACCTAAACAAGTAGGAGAATTTAAGTAAGTTGATCTATCTAAAAGGCCCAACCAAATGATGGGATTACCCATACTTGTTCAAAGTGGGTCAAATGACTGAAACGACTCTGCTTGTTCAAGTTCCCATCTCTCAACAATGGCAATTTATAGATGAGTGCATATAGTATGCTCATGTGGTAGCATTTTGTGCATCTACTCCCTTGCTAAAAGCACCTATTTTAAAAGGATATTTTCGATCTAAAATTTTAAGAACCAGATAAGAATTATTAGATGGCTATTTTTAAAATAAAAATTTAAATTTTGAGTTGATTTGTGCAACACTTAAATGTAGCCCTTCAAAACTTGGGTTCTTTCTATCTTAAGGCAGTAGTTTTTTTTTAGTACAGAGATTTTATTTTAGATTTTTTTTTTGTTGAGATTATTCTATAGGTTGTAAATATTACATCCCCAAATTTTGAGATCTAAATAGTGTCCCTAGCATGTATTTTTCCTAAAGGAGTAAATGGATAGTTTCCTCCCAAGTGAGTAGAAAATCTTTTCGTTTTATGTAAGTTCAACCTTTTTTTGATGAAACACCCGAGTAAAATAAAAATTTAAAAATAAAACTAATGAAACCATTTACTTTTGTTACAAGGTGGTCACAATTAATCTTGAGCATTGGATGTGAAATTGTGTGGCTGCTGTTATTTCATTATCAAGCTCAAAGTTCAAAAGAAATTTTTGGCCTTTTCAGCCCCCCGCACAAAGTTTAGAGAAGAAACAAATTGTCGCCATTGATAGCGGCACCACCGCCACTGGCATATGTACCTGGCTCTTTCGTCTCAGTTTGCTGCTTTCTTTCGCGTCTCTGAAATGGCGTTTGGTCCTACGTGCTAGTGTCAACTCTATTAATGCCATTTGCACTAGTGTCAGACCCCTACTGCTTCGGACAATGCTATTTTTGCTTGGAAGCGTAGTTTTATCGCTATCCTGCATCATGCAACCTCCTCGGCAATTTTGGAATAGAGGGCCCTTACCCCTCACTTTGTATTGCCGAGCGCGCTCGGCCCCGCATAAGCTGTGCTTTTTACTTGGATCACACTTTGGTCAATTTACGACCCAAAGCAGACATCACTAAGCACCAGCATGCCCGATATTCACTCATTGTTGGTGTGTTTAGCCGTTCACTCTCATTGCCTTCAATTGACTTGGGGGCTCTGATAGCAGAAAGGGGTAGAGAATTAAAGAGAGTAGAGAAAGGATGTAGAGAGGGGTTTTTGAGAGAGTGAATTAATGAGTGACGAGTGTTTGTAATAATAGTTTTGTAGTGGCTTAGTACCTGTTGTTTTTAAGTGGACGTACAAATAAGTAATAACTGGATGTACCTAATGTACTAAGGTATTATATTTACTGTATGATTTTGATTTATAGGGCGGTATTACTTTCAGTCCATGGTTTTTAGCCCACTATTTTTGTAAACTACCATGTGGTAATTTCGGCTACTTTTAAATATAAATATGCACCCTTTTGTATGAAATGAATCAGAAGTCAAGTTGAGTTTGTTTTTGTGCGGGCAGCCATGCCCGATAGAGTTTTCGTGCTCTAATAGTTCTTCGGTGAACTCGTCCAACTCTATTCTCGGACGAAACTCGGGATAGCAAAGCTCTCTTTTACTGTTAGATACTGTGAGGTATTGTTAACTGTTCCAGTAGCTGATCTGACCGAATGGGCAAGAAGTCGCAACATTAAAAAGGTATCTCAACGAACTATTGGCGGTTGAGCACAATACTCTTCCCCTTTATCTGACGTCCCATTATTTGCTTTCTACCTCCATGTTGCATGTAGTTCCAAGTAACCCTATTTATTAGAAAAGAGAGAGAGAGAAAGAAAGAAAGGAAAGGGCAAGTGTACTGGGTTAATGCATTATTCACATGGGATATTATTCTTCGTAACAATATGAAATGCTGCTAATATGCAAGCGGCCCGTTTATCCCGTAAATGCAAGTAGTTACCAAATATTGAAGTCAACTGTGATATTTCTTTGATGTGGCTATTTTTTTTTTTTCCTTGTTTTCTAGTCATTTATTTGATGAGGCTATTATTGTGTATAAATGAGACTTAGCTCCATTTACATATTGGAAAAGATTTCTATATGCCGCTTAACATAACATAATTATATATGCCATTCCTTTTCTAATCGTTGGATTTAAATCGACAATTGGGAAGTTTTGAGGGGAAATGTAAAAAAAAAAGTTTGGTGACTGACTACCAGCTCTTAGCCGGATCTCCAAAAAAGATAAATCCAATTTGGGGACTCACACCCTCCCACAACACAAAGGGGTTTCTCTCTCATAAAACTCATCAGCTATTGAAGGTACCTATGTTTGAAAAACTGGGCAATGATAGAGGAAGGGTTAGAAATTAATCTCCAAGCTAATTACATTATATTAGCCATATTAAA